GTTTGAAAAATATACCATCGTCTGGCTCTCCCTTGTCAAATTTACTCATTACATCTTCATAGAATTTCAACAGATTTGTCAGGCATGATTTTGCCTTCATAAATCCATGCTGACTCAGTCTGATCCTGCCACTGCTTTCCAAATGCTCTGCTGCAAAGTCTTGATAAAGCATTTGAGAATTCTCTCCACTGCCGATGTTAGGAAGATGTCATGACTTAACTATTGGAGACAAAGAATGTCATTTATAAACTTAGTAAGACACTTTTCAGTGCTAACGCAGGGGCTGCAACTTGATTGAAGGGATTCAAACAGTAAATATTAGGAGAGATGGGTAGTGATCACAGAAAATATCAAGGCTTTTTGCTTGGACATGGGTGATAGTTACAATGGAGTGGGTCCAGAGTGTATTTTTACACTTTCATGCTCGTAAATGAAGAAAACTTCTGTGCCTGCTGTCACTTCTGGCAGAAATTTGCACGCTGCAACAAACTGACTATCAGAATCCACTGAGTTATCACCTTATTTATGTACAAGTGAGCAGGTATATTTTCAAAAGATTTAGCATTATAATGCAAAGGAACACATTTGTACCAAAATTCATAGTGAACAATTGCTTACATCTTAATTTCTTGAGAATGTTCTGGTCCAAATCCTTTAAAAGGCAAATGATAATCTTTTCACTCTTAATTTTCACCAATTTGTCACTAAATCTCAGCTTTTGGTGGTTTATTTATTTGGGATAAGATCAAGTAACTGAAATATGTAAGATAGGAATAGGTTAGTGGCCCACAGAACCTGATCTGCCACTCAACATGATCATAGCTGATCCTCTATTCAATGCTGTACTCCCGCTCTCTCCCATACTACTTGATGCCTTTTGTATCTTGAAATCTGTTTCTTTCTTAAAGATGTCCATTGACTTGGCCTCCATAGCCTTCTGTAGTAAAGATTTCCACAGGTTCACTGCACTCATAAGAAATTTCTCCCTATCTTGGTGTGATGTGGCCTACCACATATCTGGAGAATGTGATCCCTTGGTCGGGTACTACTCATCTCTGGAAAAATCTATCCAAGCATCAGAATTCTATACACTTCAACTAAATCCCCTCTGATTCTTCAGAATTCCAATGAATACAGGGCTAGTTGACTCAATCTCTCCTCATATGACAAAACTAATTTGCATTCACTCTGTGGCAAGTATATTTTTTTCCAAGGTAAATACACCAATGTCCTGTATAGCTACAGTGAGACATCCACGTTCCTGTACTCAAGCCTTCTCTTGTAACAAAGGTCCACATACCATTTACCTTCCTAGCTGCTTGCTTCCCCTGCATACTTGCTTTCAATTACTGGTGTACAAGGTCACCGAGGTTCCTTTGTATATCAAAGTCTCCCAATCTATCATTTTAAATAATAGTCCACCATTCTTGCTTTCTAACAAAATGGGTAACTTTATGCGTTATACGGCATCTGCCACGCTTACTCACTGAAATTGTCTTGAATGCTCATAATCCCATTTAGATTTGCATTGTCAGAAAACTTGTAAATATTATATTTAATTCCCACATACAAATTGATATATATTGTGAACAACTGGGGCCCAAGCACTGATTTCTTTAGTTCCCCCATTTGTCATCAACTTCATTTCAAAAAAGACCAATTTATTCCTGTTTTCCTACCTGCTACCTTATTCTTAATTAATGCTAATATATTACCCCCATTTCCACGTGCTTTGATTGCCCACAATAACCTTTTGTGGGACTTTATCAAATGCTTTCTGAAAATCCAAATACATTACATCTACTGGTTCTCCCTATCTATTCTTTTACAACCTGAAAAACTCTTGCAGGTTTGTCAACTGTCATTTCTCTTTTATAAATTCATGTTGATTTTGCTTGTCATCACATCCTTTATCAGGATATCCAGTATTTTCCCATCTATTGACATAAGATTAGCTGGTCTGTAATTCAGTTTTCTCCCTTCCGCTTTTTAAAAAATGGCGGGTTACATTTGTTACTCGAATCAGCTGGGGTCATTCCAGAATTTTACAAGATGACAACCCATGCATTCTTTACCTTTATGGCCACCTCCTTCAGCACCCTGAGATGTAGATTGTCAGGCCCTAAGGGTCAGCTTTCAGTCTCACTGATTTATCAGCACTTTTAAAAAATTAATATAATCCAGGGCCTGAACGGCTCGGCCAGGAATGAGGATGGGCAACCTTCTGAGCAGCCAGGCCCAATGGGACTTCCAGGACAGGTCAAGCACAAAGCAGGTGCACAGGATAAAGATGGACTTGCCCTGAAAAATGAAGATGGTTTGTGTTTTGGAGCGTGGAGAGCAGATTCGCTAGTGTCCTGGGTTCCTGTCATTACCACGTAATAAGAGGAGTTTTGCCCTTGAAACATCGGAGGATGGATGCCAAGGGTAGCCCTAGCGTCTCTGGTGCATGACACCAGGGATTCCATTGGCGATGACTTTACCCTAGAAGATCAATTGGTTGAGGGACTCCGAAATCATACCGTACAGAGTTGGCCCTTCGGCTCATCAAGTCTGTACTGCCAAAGCTACACTAAATCTACACTAGTCCCAATTTCCATCACTAGGCACATAGTTGAATATTATGACATTTCAATTGCTCATTCAAGTACTTTCCAGATTCTGGTGCATTCCAGATACCCAGCACCCTCTAGGTGAAAAAAAGTTTCCTCAAATTCCCCGTAAACGTTTTTGCATTTCACATTAAAATGATGTCCCCCTTGTTACTGATCCTTTGACTCTGCTGTAATTGCAGTTGTGAGCATTTTGCAGGCATGGATTTTATCTACTGTAATTCCTCGTGAAGTTCTTTGTCTCAAACCACAAACAAAGTATCACACAGAAGCTAGGTCCTTTTCTGTGTGAACTAGTAAGAGGAGGAAATATGAGGGAAGTTCAAAATTAAAAAGGACTTCTGTTCCTGGGAGATGATTTTACTTGTAACTGTCACTGTTGATAGGCTAACTAATTCCAACCTGTGACTTAGGACCAGGGTGTCAAATGTTTTTGGTTGAATGGCTCCTTTTCAAATGGATCGGTATCATGAACCCCAATCTGAAGCATAGAGATTGGAGGATAAGAACCAGAAAAATTCTGGAAGAATGCAGCATGGAGGGATAAGAGGAGACCTCTGGCAGCCATTCCCTCAGTGAAGACTTCACCTGGCACAGCAGCAAACATCAGACCATCTGGAGAGACAGAGAAGATGACCACATGTGAGATTAACCTTCACCAAGTTCATCAGAGCTGACTGCACAGCTGCTTGGCCAAGATTAACTGCACGGGTAGTATCTGGTCCTCATCTGGTAGCCAGTTTAAAAATTTAGATAAGGATTGCAACGAAGACTTAATGCCATGATTGATGCAAGAATTAGATGCTTTAATTGCAAAAGAACAGGGTGCTTTCTGAAGCCATATGGCCTCTTTTGCGTCTTTAGTGCATTCTGTGAATAAAATTGCGCTGAATTGCAAGCCAACTCTGATCCTTTAGTTAGTCTCACAGGTGTAGCATCAATTTACATAGAAACTGGTTGAAGTGTCCATAACAGGGACAACACTAATCTCCTTCAATTCCTCCTTCCTAAAAGGCCCCATGCTTCCTGCACATTTCTGGTGAATTATTTATGTCTTCTGCTGGAAAGACTTCACTAAAGTATTTGTTTAATTGCTCTGCCATTTCCTTGTTCTCCGTCATCTACTCTCCCTTTTCAGTCTTAAGGGGCCTACATTTATCTTCACTGATCTTTTTCTTGTTACACACACATATAGAAGCTCCATTTTTATACTTCTTGCAAGTTTATTCTCATACTGTATTTTTTTCTCCTCAATTAATTTTTCAGGCCTTGTTAAGCAAATCCTAAATTGCTCTCAATTGACAGGTTTGCTACTTTTTTTTCCCTCCACCCTAGCAGCACTATATGACTCCTCTTTGGTTCTAACATAATCCTTAATTTCTTATGTTAACTTTGACTGGGCCACTTTCCCAGTCATATTCTTTTGTGAATGGAATGTATGAACTCCAGCAATGCATGCATTCATTTCTTAAATACTTGCCTTTGTCTATTCACTGTTATACCTTTCAATGAATGTGCTAATCTATTGCAGCTAGCTCACCCATTGTACCTCTTTAGTTTCCTCTGTTTAGATTTAGGACTCTACTTTTGGATTGGACGACTTCACTTTCAACCCCAATATAAGACTGCTATCAGGCTGTGGTCACTGTTTCCAAAAAGATCTGCACGAGTCTATTAATTAACTTCCTCATATTGCACAAAATCAAGAACAGATGGCTTGTTTAGTAAGTTGGTCTAAAAAAATCTTGGACATATTCTGGGAATATCTGTACTTTCATGTTAACATGTGGAAACTTTTTTCAAAAGAAATATTCATTATGTAAAAATAAATTCTACAATAACCCTGGGTGCAAATGTGTTTTAAACAAATTCGTAAACGAATAAGTTATGTGGTAAAAGGAACTGGCAGAATTCAGTATAACATTCCTTCAGAAAAAGTATTTATTTTCCAAATTCTTCTGTTCATTTGAATACACAAAATATTTAATACAACATAAAATTAAGGCCTTCATGCCATCTCAAAACCTGTAGATTTGACTTGTAAATTACTTCAGATTGTAATCTATTAAAAATTGAAACTAGATACTATAAACGACTTGTTTACAGGCGCTCTCCAATGGAGTAGTTGAGTTAAATAGTTCAAAAAGTCAGTTTCAGCGTGTTTGCTTTCAAAGTGTCATCATTGCTTTTCGATCTGTTTGCAAATATGCCAATTATTCCCCCCCAACCCCATCGCTTTAAACAATTTATCTATCCTTTGCGCTGCGATTTTGGACCATTGAGGCTTCAAACTTCGAATAGGCACAAATTATCTCACAAGCCACATCTATCTTGTTTTAACGTGAAATCTGAAATTACCACATCTAAAGATATGTAGCTGTAATATACCTGAGTTTTTAAACGCATCCTCCCCCCTATCTTGGCGTACATGCATGCGAAACTGCTCAGGCATCAACGAATGTAACAAAAGCCGCCACAAGACGCTACATCAGCCGTCAATCATTCAAACTGCAATGCTTTTTGCAACAGTGTCGCAGTAGGAAATGCACACTAAACTCCCCCAGGACCACTCATTTTTGTTTCTGCTTTATGATCGTTACATACAGCTGCGTCCAAAAAATTGTTAACAAATTGAAATATGCCTTCTTTTTTTCCTTCAGACTACTGATTCTCAACAACCAGTGTATGAAGTCTCAGGAACTGCTGCCTACTTGAACAAGAATTGAAGCCAGCTCGCACCTGAACAAGCCGCTGAGACCGGGTCAACGTAATCAGGGGTACAGGCACGAGATCGAGTCGCGGGTATTTTTATTTAACGGCCACCTGTTCTATCTGCTCTGGCGCACGCGATCACCTATTCGTACCCTCCCCTGACTCCCACTGCACTGTGTGTCTGCCTGTCTATCTATCTGTCTGTCAGTCAGTAACCACGGTAACCAACTCAGCGTTGGGGCTGAATAAATGTAGGAATTCTGGGATTAAAATGGCGGACAAGAGAAATGATTCTGGTGTGTAATATTGCTTGTTTCGATTTGCTAATTTTGGGTGCTGTAATATTTTTGCATGGGTGAAATGATCCGTAATAGCTTTTCGCAGACTTTGGAAAAGAGTTTGGATATCAGACCATTGTCAAAACGTTTAACACAGTGTGCGATGGGTACTCTGCGGCTGTGCTGCAATGCTTAAATTCTTGCTCTGTAGCCCTGCCTTAATATATAAATTGGCTTAATTTATGCTAAGTGAAAAATCAGAATATCTCCCAACGTCACGCCAGAATGTTAATATTGTTTAATAAAATGAATGGCACTAAATGTAGATAAATTGTATGCTTTTTAAAAAAATTGCGCTTTGTTCTGACGTTGAAAGATGCACGTTTCTATTCACAATTTAACTCCTTCTTCACCAACATTTCTATATATATATATATATAAAACATACATACACATCCTTGATTAATTGCCCCTATTGTATTCTAACAATGATGAACCTCAGTCTGGGACTAAGTTTCGTGTCAACCTATTATTATAACTGATAAAAAAAACAATTTTTCAAATACCAAGGTAAACACATTTGTAAACATGTTTGTAACATCATGGGTGGCATTGTGTGCTTTACGTTTGTTTTTTAACTTTTGAACAGTCATGCCTCAAGCATACTGCAGTAGATAGTTTGCTCCATTTTGCACGTAGAAGAATGCTTGTGTAAAGAACATTTGGGATTTCCCAGTTTATTCTACTTTGATTTTATTGTGGAGTACAATACTTTGATTAACAAGTGAAACTGAATAACGTACAAATAACTAAGTGATTTGGTAGTATTCTTTTAAGTTTGAAGTTTCTTAATGACAGAGCTAGGCTCTGAGTATGTATCTGGATCCTTATTTTATAATAGAATTTTGATATCATTTCATTTATCATTCACATTGGATCCTCTGCTTAGCTTAGCGTCAAATTACTGGAAAAGTCAAAGCAGTTAATATGCAAACTGTCCTGAAATAGTAATGAAGTACAAGTATGTGAAGAATTTTAGCTGCCCTACCTGGTTGAATGTGATGCCTGTGCCTGCAACACAAAGCTAAGTGCTATTTAGCACTCTCATGTGGATAGTCCTGGGATGACTAGTGTGGGAAATGGAAAGGAGTACTCTTTCAGTTAAGTGCATTCTCCTGAAGCTGCAGCAGAATAGAGGAAGCTCTACTTGATGTGGACGTTTGATATTGAAGAAAAAATGGTGTCCACCAGTACCAACATCATCTGATCAACGTAACATTTTACTAAACACTGCAGTTAAAAATAAACACTGCTTTATAAATCCTTGGATAAGCAGCTAGCACAGGTAATGAAAATGGGTATTAATAGATTGAGATTTAAAAAGTCAGCATTGAGTATAATTATGCTGGACTAAAAAGTTGCTTGTTCCCTGCTGCGGCTTGTACCTCATTCTGCAAGGAGATTTGCTGTCATGGTAAGCCACTGTTCTCTTGTGCCATTCCTGCACATCTGTTGTAGATTGCATGCACGCAAGCACATTGTGATATCTGTATCCTATTACATATAGGTAAACCCCTTTTTCCACTGCTGTTCAATTTGACCTATAGAAAAGATCTCTGGCCTTGTGATCAAATGATGGAAATACTGATGTCTATTTATTTGGATGTCACTTTTCGTGATTTTTTCTTGGCTTTGTAATTTTAAGTACTTCTTTATCTCATGGTGGAATTTTTATGATATATCACATTTCTAATTTCTTCCACTTGTCTTTACTTATGGTCAACATTTCTGAAGCACAATTGAAAGTAGAATGTTATGAGTTTTTACCTTGTTACAATCTTGATTTTTCTTGTTGACACATCTTTCATTTTCGCACGATTACTTCCAGCTATCTTTATTCTCTTCCAAATTTGGCATTACATTTGCCATCTTCTGTTATTATTTATCCTAAATAGACAAATATTTTGAAAAAATGTGAACTTATTAGTGATAGGCAGCATGATTTTGTGCGGGGATGTGCTGTCTCACAAACTTGATTCAGTTTTTGAAGAAGTGACAAAGATGATTGAGGGCAGGGTGGTAGATGTTGTCTACATAGATTTTAACATGGTCTCATGTCAGGCTGATAGCGAAGGTAAAGTCACATAGCATCCACCAGTGAGCTGGTAAGGTGGATACAGAACTGGCTTGATCATAGAAGACAGAGGATAGTAGTGGAATAATTTTTTTTCTAACTGGAAATCTGTGACCAGTGGTGTTCCGCAAGGATCAGTGCTGGGACCCCTGTTGTTTGTAATGTACATATAAATTATTTGAAAGAGTATGTAAGTAGTCTGATTGGTAAGTTTACGGAAGAAACTAAGATCGATGGAGCTGCAGATAATGAGGATAATTGCCACATGATACAAGCAGGATATAGATAGTCCAGAGACTTGGGTGGAGAAATATCAGACAGAATTTATTCTGGACAAATGTGAAGTGATGCCTTTTGGAAGGTCTAATGCAAGAGGGAAGTATGCATTAAGTAGCAGAACCCTTTGAAGCATTAACACACAAAGAGATCTAGATGTACAGGTCTACAGTTCCCTGAAATGATATCACAAGTGAATAAGATGGTCAAGAAGGCTTATGGCATGCTTGCCTTCATCAGTCAGGGCATAGAATATAAAACTTGGCAAGTCATGTTTTACCTGTGTAGAGCTTTACATAGATCACATTTGGAACATTGCATATGGTTCTGGTTGCCACATGAACAGAAGGATGTGGAGGCTTTGAAGAGAGTACAGAAAATGTTTGCCAGGATATTGGACAAACTTGGTTTGTTTTCATTCGAGCATTGGAGGCTGAGGTGCGACCCAATAGAAGTTTATAAAATTGGGAGGCATGGATAACATAGGTAGTTGGAGTCGTTTTTTTTCCCAGAGTAGAAATTTCAAATACTAGTAGATGTAGGCTTAAGGTAAAAAGGGAAAAGTTTAAAGGAGATATGAGAGGCAAATTTTTTACACAGAGGGTGGTAACTGCATGGAATGTGCTGACAGAGCTGGTGATGCAATAGCAATGTTTAGGAGGTATCTTGACAGATAAGTGAGTTAGCAGTGGATAGAGGGATACAAACTGTGTAGAGGCCAAAAGGTTTTAGTTTAGAAAGGCATCATGTGTCATCACAGGCCTGTTCCTGTGCTGTACTATTCCTTGTTCTTTGTATCTTTGTATGTATTTGTTCCAATATAAATCACCCACGTCAATCTTCGTGCTAGTTTCCTCTCATTGCTTGTATCATTGTGTTTATTTTTTTACTGTTCATATTCTAAACTTCTAGCTCTCGATTGCCAAAGGGCCACGTCTGATTCTGCAAGTGGAATTGTATCCTCAGCGTATTGGAAATTTCATGTTCTTGCCTCCAATTTTTGTCCCTGGAAATGCATTCAATTTTCTGAATATTTGTTGTGTACAGATTGTATACTGTTGCCAAAAGTATTCAGCCTGGTCTTAGAGCCATAGAGGCCTACAGTGTGGGGAAAAAAAGGCACTTTGACTCATTGAGTCTGCACTGGTCAAAAATAACCTTCTAACTATTCTAATCCCATTTCGTAGCATTTAATTCATAACCTTGTATACCTTGGCATCACAAGTACACACCTAAATACTACTTCAATATTATGAGGGTTTCTGACTCCGCCATCCTTGCAGGCAGTGAATTCTGGATTCCTACCACCCTCTGCGTGAAAAAAAAATTCCTCACATCCCCTCTAAGCTACCTGTTCTTAACTTGAATTTGTGCCCGTTGTCAGTAAAAATGTATTCTGACATACCCTGTTTATGCCCCTCATTTTACACATCTCAATCATGTTCCCCTTCAATCTCCTGTGCACCAAGGAAAGCAATCTCTGACAATCTGATCTCTCTTCTTAAATGAAACTGTTCAGCCTAGGCATCATCCTGGTAAATCTCCTCTGTACCCTCTCCATAGCATTACATCCCCTCCTATTGTTTACAGTTCTGGAATTCAAATAATACTCTAGCTGTGACCTAGCCAACATTTTATTTTATATAGTTTCAACATTACCTCCTTATTGTACACCTCAACAAACCTCGTCATTATTACTTTATCTACCCGTCCCAATACCTTTAAAGGACTGTTGGACATGAACACCAAGGTCCCTGTAATCCTCAGTGCTTCCTAAGGTCCTACCATTCACCATGTATTACCTTGTTCTAATCCACTTTACATTTGAAACATATCTTCTTGTCTGATATTCACTAATTGGTCCCAATATAAGTTTGGGATAAATCTCGTATTTACTATCAATGTCACATCCCGGCTACACGTTTATTATTTTCTGGCAATAAACATGATTGAAAACTTTTTAATAGTTTGTGAAGGAGATATCAAAGTTGTTTTCACCTCTCGTATTAATTGAAGATTATTTTTGTGTTAAATGTTGCCTGATTTGTTTCTGCTCCAAGTATAAATCCAGATTGCATGTCACCAAGTTCTGCTTCAAATTAGTTGTTAGTATTTTCTGTTATGATATGATTTTGGTTCCTTCAAAGGTTCAAGTTGACCTGAAACCTGTATTTGGTGATTATGATGTGTATTGTTTGCATGGAATTTGGAGTACATGAGCTCAGAAAGAGAAAATATCCCATTTATAGTTTTGCCAGAACCTGCTTGTATGTTGGTAGGGCAGATAGACGTGGCATTGGCTAGCAACAATTGATGGGCCACTAATAGTTGATGGAAGTTAAACAGATAAGTGATACCATCATTTCATAGTCTTTTCTTAACTGTGTTAGCAGATTAAAAGTAATTCCATTCACTATAACCTTTGCAGTCTAGAATACTCAGGACCAGATCTTTTCTGGTATGTTAAACCAGAAGTGTGTAAAGCAGAAAATATGGTAGGTATAAATATATACCTGAAACACAAAACAGTGAAATGCACCAAGAATTGAAGCTGGGGAACTTGGAGAAAGTAAATAGTGATGTCTTGAAAAGAGTTCATATTACAGAA